GCCAGTGCTCCACGTCGATGATGTAGGCACCCTTACGCTCCATGGTAACCACATCAAAGCCCTCACCTGCCAGGTTCGACCCAGTTACCATCTGGGCCTTCTGGCACTGGAGAGCGTTTCTCTCTGTAGTGCAGTGTGGAAGACCAGGGGGCAGCCAGCACCCCCACAGCCAGAGGACGAGCAACCACCACATGACAGAAGAGAGAGAAGGGGATGATGGTCTGTGAAAAGTGTGGGAAAAAAATATCACAATATATGGATATTAAAGATAACTTTCAAAAATTATTCTTTCGTTTATCTTACTGCTGAGGAAAAACACTTTTGCATGTCAATACTCCTATGAAATCACATTAAGGGTACTTTATGCATTTGTACACTTGTTTATTGACCACTAGATGGCAGCATTTATGTTTTTTGCTTGGGAGATTGTTGTTGTTCTTTTTTTTTTTTTTTTTTTTTTAAATATTCCCTCCTCCACCCCCCCTCTGCTATAAAAACTATTTGTTTTTATTTATTTATTTATTTATTTATTTTATTGTTTAGTTTATATTTTTATTTACTTCCTCAAAAGAAGGAGAGGGAGAGGGGGGGAAACAAAGGAGAAGAAGGGGGAAAGAGAGAGAGGGAGAGAGAGGGAATAAAAAAAGGAGAAAAGAAAAAAACAAAACAGATAATCTGCTTCCATGTCTGCTGAAAAGAGAAAGACAACATACAACATCTGTACTAATCACAACGACCATCAAACGTTAAATGTTATTGAACAGTACACACAACCCACATTACAACACATGCCCAGAAGCAACAGCCGATCAAGACAGTGTGTGTCCGTGAGCATGTGTCCGTGAGCACCTGTGTGCACACCTGTGTGTGTCAGCGCGCTGGTGTTCCTAAGGTTTCTCCATGTAAATGTCTAGTAGTGTGTGTGGGGAGCCACAGCTCCGCCCACCCAGGCGCCCCCCAGGGCACGGGAACCCCAGGAGGACCACCGCAGGGACAATTGCAGCCCCCACCCAGAAAAGGGCAGAGGAGCGCTCCGGAGGGGGGCCATCCGGCAGCCACATCGCAGGAGCCCCAGGGCGCCGTGGCGGCGAGCACGCAGGCTCTGTCGGCGGCTGGCCACACCAGGGCAGACCGGACCCCGGGCCCAGAACCAAGGGCCCCCCCACCCCCCAGCCGGGACCCGACGGAGCCGGAAGGACCAGGCCCCACCAGGCAACCGCCGACAGTGAGCCAGCACACACCAGAACATCCAGCCCCGGACATCGAGAACCACCAACGCATCGGCAGCCGGGGGCCTCATCCACCGGCAGGAAGTGTGGCGGGGGGCAATAGAGCCTGAGATGTTATTTCAGATGGAGTCTAAGACCCAACCTGACACATGCGTATAGACAAACAGGCGTACACATACACAAGCATATGTTCCCACTCTCATGCACACATAAACAAATATTCACCCATTCGCCCAACATGAAGACACACAGAAATGAACGCCGTACACACACTCACACTCCCCATATATACTCTATACTCCGAGGTCCAGGCACCACCGCCCCCAGAGGGGCAATCCGCCACCAGACCCCGGAGATGGATCCCTTTTTTCCTCTGGCGTGGAGACAAGAAGACCACCAGCCCAGACCCCGACCGGACGGCCAGCTCCCCCCAGCCCCCGGCTCCAGATGGCGAACAGAGAACGGAGGTGTGAAAAGACCCCATGCTTCCCCCCGCCGGCTCATATGTGGTGTTGGTGCGTGTTGTTCTAAAGTGCTTTAAAACAGGGGAAGGGCATGGTGCTAACCACCCTCTGCCAAACAGCAGCTGGTGTCAGCTCGGCCCCTCCCCAGAACCCTCAATGTCTATATGCAACTTAAAATTGAGAAGTGGGCACTGGCACCAGAGGTAAGGCTGAATGAACAGACCGCCCTCTGGACGCCATTCCGTGTGCCCACCCCCAAGGCCCTAAATGTATGTGTCATGAGAGAGTAAGTAATGAGAGTGTCTAAGTTGTGATGTGTGATTGAGACACAGGTGGTCATGGGGGGACAGAGGAGGAATACCTCCCCTGCTTGGGAGATTGTTCTGCTGACAAGCTTTAGATTTGCATGGCAGGCTGCTGTCTTGGTAACATCAGCATCGTAAAATTGCTTATTAAGCAGATGTTACAGAAACACTAAACTGTCTAAGAATGTGGCGGGTGGTTTTGTTTAATTGTTCCCCATCATAGGCCCTGTAAGTTTCTCTGTTGGAGGGAAATAATAACATAGAATTTAGTTAAAATTGTAAAAGTGACCCTTGACCATGCAGTAGACTGATTGATGCGAAACAAGATTTTTCTTTGTTTTATAGTAAGTTTGTTGTGTTTGCCAGACACTTGTATCCCAGGCAACAGAGGGGAGGAAATCAAAACGGACAGGCTTTTGAATCCAAAATTGTCTGACTGGCTGTTTCTTGAGACGTGGGCATGTTCGGTAGGCTTAAAGGAGAACAATGCTGTGTTTCATTGAACCATCGGCCCAAGGCAAAGTTTTGACTCCATGCTTTGACTCAAAGGCCAAATGTGTTTCATCCATTGTGTGTTGTCACATTCTCTGCTAATTAGTGTATGGTGAGCATGTGTCTGTTGCTACAAAATGAGGGGTTTCTTGTGAAAAGGAGAGCTGAAATACCTGCCATTATCCTCCATCACAATTGATTTGTCTGTGTCACAAAAACACTGTAGCATTTCACTTATACTAACATTTGGTCCCCACAATGTAGTATATACATGACCACACACAGACCTGTACTCATACCTTTGTGGGGACCGTCCATTTATTTCTATGGGCAAAACTCTAATCCCAACAATGAAAACCTTAACCCTTACCCAGCCCTACCCTTAAACATAAGTAACCAAACAAAATACAAGGACTTTTGGCATTTTTAGTTTTTTGATTGTGGTCACAGATTTTTAAATTTAATTTTAATTGAAAAATGGTCCCACAAGGTCTAAATAACATATTTATCATATTGTGGGGCCATTTAGTCCCCACAATGTAATACACTCACCTAAAGGATTATTAGGAACACCATACTAATACGGTGTTTG